CAATAACTTGGAAATGGTCATGTGTTGAACTAAAATTAGTTGGGACATGAGTAAATACAATACTGTAGCTAGCTAAATCATAAAAAAACATTAAAAATGATTATTTTTTTTTCAAATAACAGGAGTTGTTCTGCAACTCATTTCTTGTGTGTAACAGACACTCCTGCTGGTGTTAAAGCGTCACTGCACACAAAAGTGGTTCTGGCAAGAACCTACATAAAATTACAAAAGGAAAAAAAAACTCACTTAAACCTTAAGAAAACGAAATAACAACTTGCATACTTTTTTGTTGACTTTACCAAATATGTAGAGAAAACATTGAAAAAAAAAATTCAAGGAAACAGAATAAAAGTTCGTCCATTTTTGCACTTGAACACACAATGTCTAAATTAGACAATAATTCAAACAAAACAGGGTAATGTGTAAGTAAGTAAATTAAAAATAAATAAATAAATCAACGCTATTAAAAAGCCTAACTTTGTCTCAGGCAACTGTATGGTTACCTATTTGGGTCCTTCGCACACGCTCTTGTTTACATCCACGTCTCCAGGAAATACATCCTACTGGTGTCAAAAATGAGGCGACAGGTGGTCGATATTATATATTTTTTTATCACAACTAATATACTATTATTTTCAAACACGGAGTATCGTGTACTAAATAAGCGAATAATTCGAATAAGCGAATTGTTTTGTTAGCATCAGAGCTAACATTCTTGTGTTTTCAGGACTCTCAAGACTCTCCACTGTTTGGTGAAGAGGACGACAACTTTCAGCTAAAAAAGTCTAAAATTAGGTGAGACATTTTACTTGGTGTACACATAGTCAAACCTCTTCTGATCCATTAAATCGAAATCTTTCAGATACCCCGTGGCGTCGTTCTTTCACCTCTTCTTCCGGACATGCGCCATAGTAGTTTATTTACTGTGTGACGTCTTCAGTGGTCGTTTTATTGCCTCCATGGTCTCCATCATCCTTCTGCTTTCATGTGACTTCTGGACTGTCAAGGTTAGTGTTTTCTTTAGTTATTAGGTTACATGCTCTAATATGGTAAGTTCAACAAATAAAAGAAGAGACTGCTCCTGAACTCCCTGGAAAACCTAAATGAGTTCCCAGGATGCCCAGTTTATGTGGCTTCAGTGAGAGGAGATAAGACTTGATGGTGGTTCTTGGTAGCAGTCAGCAGTAAAACTTGTATTCTTGCAGGTTATTCTTTAAGGTCAGGTACTGTTACACTCAGTCACACTTATTAAATGATTACAAGCTGCCTAGATTTTCTTTACATTCTTCATCTAAATTACTTTTAGTTCACATTTATGTGAAGACACACAGGAACGCACGCCTTGAATTTTAAAATGACTGTAGTTCAGAACCAGTGGTATTTAAAGGAAGAGACAGATCCTCTTTACYTTGTTTTTCCTACAATCCACATGCACAACAATGCCTTACCTTATAGTTTTTTTATACAATAAATTCCGCAAACTTAGAATGGACTGTGCTAAGTGCAAAGTAATGTTCTAAACTGMATAAAAATATAACTACAATTTTATTGTTTTCAGAATGTATCTGGCAGATTGTTGGTGGGCCTTCGGTGGTGGAATCAGGTGGATGAAGATGGAAAAAGCCGCTGGATGTTTGAGTCAAGGAAGGTAAGCAGAACCCCRGAGGGAGTGAAGTTATAAACATTATATTGATAGWTAAATATTTGGTAAAAGTCAAAAAGAAAAAAATAAGTAGGTCCTCTGGATGGGTTCAGGACTATTTGGTAAAAGGTTTTCCTCTGGAGCAAACACCTGCAGCTCTGTTTTTTTTTAAACATGAGACTCTTAGATTTTTGTTTAAATTAACGATTAATTAAATTCTGTCTTGTGTTTTTGAACAGTCCAACAATACAACCACCACTGCAGAATCACAGCTCTTCTGGCTTGGACTTATCATTTGCCCCATCTTCTGGGTTATTTTTGTCTTCAGCGCCGTTTTCTCTTTTAATATTAAATGGCTGGTCAGTTCAGYGATTGTGCACGCAACAGTTTACATCAAAGCGAGTTATCAGTTCATGTGACAGTCATATTTTTTGCCATTTCCCTTCAGCCTGTGGTGATAATGGGTTTGGTTTTGCAATGGGCCAACGTGTACGGTTACATCAGATGCAAAGTGGGTGGAAGGTCCAACCTGAAAAACATGGCAAAGAACTACTTCAGTGGGCAGATTTTCAAACAGGTATGTGACATGTTGTCTTTTTGTATACCTTGCTCGTTTTGGTCTAGAAAACTGTGAAATTAATCTTTTTGTGTTTCTCCAAAGGCAATGAAGGGAGCTGACACATCCTGACACTGAGGAGGATTTCTGAGGACAAAAAGCAGTTTGGTGGGGCTCTCTTCTGGATGGATTTATAATTATTACTTGAGAAGGTGGAAGGCTCTTTTTTGCCATGTATGTTTCATATCAACTGGTGTTGTGACTTCCTGTGGGATTTAGTTAAAGACAAATAAAAGTTAAAGCTTTAATCTTGTTTTCTGGAAATCAGAAGGTGCGACATCATTTAAATGTAGAAAAGAAGTMATACTAACAAACTATGTTCATGTTGTTTTGATCAATCTATATTTTTTCACTGAAAACTGACACTCAGATGTTAATGAATGTGAAAAACCTTGAGATTTATTTACATGTTATTAATAAAACCTGTTTTGCAACCAGAATCATGACTTTTAAAAATGTTTTTTTTACTAATATTTAACTCACTGTAAATGTGTTTTATTACATGTCATGAAATCTGAATTTTTTTAATGTTTTCCTATTTTATAGCCATCAGATATTTTACTTAAAACAAAAGGGAATATTCTTTTTCATGCTGAATTTCTCTGAGCTATAAATAACAATAACAAAAAATAAATAAAACAAACAAAATATCTTGTGCAGAGAATTACATTTATGAGCATGACGTTACTGGTCTGCCTGCAGAAATACAATTGAGCCACTAGGTGGCAGAAAACAAACATTGGAGGTTGAGGAGAGCCTGTTGTCAGTGAATCCATCCATTTTCTTTAACCTWTTCTGGATTTTCATTGATTCATTTTTCAGGTGAAACTTAAGTTGTAAAGTAATTAAACAAGAATGAAGCACAAATGTACAAAATGTCATCCATCCATAATTTTTCTATTTGACTAAAAGTCAAYACTGATCTCGCTTTGGTGATTTATAAAATATATCTATAATAAATACGAAAATGAAGTTTTATGTTTGATTTAACATTTATAAGAATTTAAAGCCTTTGCGATAGTGTGTTTTAATGCAGAACACATCAATTGATTAAACAATTTAGAATAAACGTTTCTGTCCTTATCAATAGATGACAAAGGATCTGCTTTATAATTTTAGTTAAAATAATATCCTAAAAGTCATCAGTATCATTTCTCTACACTTACACTGGGGTAGTTTTACATTGTATTTGTACTTTTCACCTTTAAAGTGCTGAATTCTGTATCCATCAGTTATTCATAACATTTAAACACATACTATAACCTAATTTAAAGAAAAAAAAGTCACAAAAGGCCAAAATTGTTGTATTGTTTTTATTTTTTTATTATTTACACTTTTTGAAAAAAGAATTACAAATCTGTGGGGAAAATGTCCTTCAAAGTGATAAAAGACGAGAAAATATTAATTTACGTTTGCTTAAGTTTGATTTAATGCACTGTATGAGACATTTTATTGTAATTAAAAAATTGAATTCTACACAGTTCAATCCACATCTTAATGATAAGTGAATGGAAGCATTCTGGGGTTGTATCAGTACCAGAAATCAAAGTGATTTATTTTGCATTGGTACTGAACCATWACACAAGTCATTGCAGTAACATAGGAAGTGGCAACAATAAAATAGAGCCAGAAAAAGATCACATCCCCTCGGTTTGCAATCCTCTCGTACCGTGCACATTTCTGCTTTTTTAGGTCAGTAGCTTCCAGGAATTTGACCACCTTTCTGAGCAGCTGAGTGTCCTCAGGAACATCCAGCTGGAYGACACTGATGTCAGCTTTGGCCTCTGATGTAGGAAAACAAACGGGGGGTTCATCAAGACTTGATGAGTACCTGGTTCTCATCTTCAAAGGAAGCTGCATTTCAGAYGTTGCTCACCTTCATTCTTGAGTTCTTCACTGTTCCCTCTGTCTTTCTGAGCAGATCTTTYGGAAAAGCTGCACAAAATGTGCAAACCGTCTTCAGCCACCCGTGTCAGCACCATGGACACCAGCATGCTCAGCACCAGGAGAATCAGGCAAACACAAAAGTGAACTCCTGAAAACACCACACGGTTGGATTTTGGCATATGTCGTTGAATGTTTTCTCTGTGTGTTGGCGTGACTCACGGATGATGGGGCTGCACTGGCTGTCTCCAGGCAGCTCGGTGTTGAGGATGTTCAGGAACATGGTGAAGCTGAGCACCAGGGTAATCTTGAACGWGTTGCGTTCACCGCCTTTCAGCGGCAGAGCAAAGCTGACTAAATCAGCCAAGACGATCAAAATAGTGGGCAGCAATAAAGTTATGAAGGGGTTTGAATAYTTGATGCTCAGTCCCACCTGCAGTGAACACAAGTTTATATACGATGAAAAATCAAACAGTTTTGTAATTTATTTGAAATTAATTGCAATTATTTATATTGCAAAGCTGATAAAGACATCATACTCAAAACAACAGCTTATAAATAGTCAGTATCTTACTCGCAGTAGATGGCAGTCAGCAATCTCAGTTTAGAGAATATGAGAGAAATTTGGATGCATTTCTATCATCTATAACAACTTGCTTTCAAAAATTTCAATTTTTTTTTATAAAACACATGTCAACAAGAAATGTTAAGTTTATTGATCATGTGACTATTTTTTTGCAGTTCCACCTCTCAATCCCAGAAGGCTCTAGCTGTCATCGGAGTTTTGAAATGAAGTATTGCACCTGGATTTACATGTTTATTTTTTAACAACTGGTGAAACCGATGTCTCGAACTTGCCATGATATAATTGCGGTCATCTCGTTGTTTMTTGAGGGTTGCGAAATCTGTTTTCCAGTCTCCGTGAGAACCATCAATCATCCTCACTTCACCCAGTCGTACACCTGTACCACAATCTATGCACAAAACAATGTCTCTACTCAATAAAACATAGCAATACTTCATGATAATATAATAATAATGTTACTCAAGTCAATTTAACTGGGTAAATGTAACTGTAACTAGTTACTACTCATCTCTGAAAATCTGGAGTGAAGCAAAACTTCTTCAATAATCAAAAATAAAGTCTTAAGTTTCTTTGATTCAACTCTCSGTATGTTTAACATCCTTTATGGGATTTGACTGTTTGAACTTACCGCCCGATGAAAAGGTTTGGATTGCGACAGGACATTCATCCTTAGCAAAGGGATAGTTGAACAGATTGACTTCACAGTTCACCTCTGCTGTTATGATCACGCCATGTGTCACCGTCCCATTACTGGATACCACAAGATCATTAGAAGCATGTGCCATACTTGTTGTTATTCTGCACACACACACATGCACAGAGATAACAGGCATCTCAGGGAAACTTCTGTTGGTCCAYGAATGGCGTTTGTCGTGATGGGAAGTTCGGTACAAACTTACCCATTAGTTACATGGAGCTCTGGGGTCCAGATTTTATCTACGGGCAAAACTACCCAATCAAACTGGTAAAACGATGTGTCCCAAGCCAGTTCTGGATCAACCCATTTCTGGGTTTCAAAAATAAAAATCATTGTCATTGAAACAGAATCTTTGTTTCTTCTTGTTTGTTCTATGAAAGTTTTATTCAAAACTTACAATTGCAGCAGCGAGACGACTATAGAGACGGAGATTCTTTGTGTCCTGTTCAAATAAATAGGCTGATCAAAGCATTTTATTTTGTCTATTTTATCTGTATTAAATGAACATATATTCACCAGGTTTACATGTTCAAAGCATGAAATAAAAATCAAAAGAGGAAAAATCTTAACGTTAAAGAAATTACTTACAACTGACAGAGTTTGGTACTCAATGAATGGGACTTCTATTGGCAGCGTGCAGTTTTCATACTGAGGCTGAGAAAAATGTTCTTTGTTGATTAACATTTGAGCCAGACATCTGCGGTTTGTGCAAATGGAATCAGCACGGACACATCCTAAAATCAGACGTCAAGACGTTCCAGTAAAATTGCTCCATGAAGTTATTTTGATATTTTCCAAATTGTACTTACCTACAAAAAGCATCCCCAGTAAGAAGGCTGGTCTCTTCATCCTTTTAGTTTTAAGTAGAAATTTTTCTGACAGCATTTTGCCGTTTTGTGGGCGATGTGAGTTTCAGGTTTCAGCTTGGCGTGACTCTTAAATAGCTCTGTGAACAACAGTCCACCAAAGGCACAAACGCAGACAGGATACCTCAAACACAAAAAGCATTATAAAAAAATGACCGTGCATTTAAATACAGGTTTGGTTCTCAGTGAGACTGTGTAAACAGTGAGAGCGCGAGAGCTATTATACCTATTGTCTGCTTTCGAGTTAGCAGATACAGGTACCTCTGGCTCTGACCTGTTATCATCTCAAACTGCTCAGTAATACAATGAGGCTGTGGCTGCCATAAAGAGCAGGAAGCTGAATAGGTCTGTGTTTGAAAATTCACTGAAAAGATTCCCCAGTAATGTAAACAGGACAAAGACACGACACAGCCAGAGAAAAATATATAAATGCTGTTTTGACAACTGATGATAAATTACAGTTTTATCATAAATTGTAATGAGCTCATTATGTTATACAATGTTGATTTATAATGAYGCTGCCCAAATATTTACTTTATATTTATGAAAAGGTGTGGTGACTGGGTCCTTTTTTAATGACACACAGACATAATTTGTTGGGAAATGTTTACAAGGGATATGTCCAAACTTGGTCATAAATTAATTTAAGTTAGGTTCATAATGAAAAAATTTAAACCTTAGTAGTTTCTTTGTAACGTTTTTTTCATATTTTTTAGTTGATATTAACATGCGTTAACCTTTCACATGGCTTTTTCCTCTTCATTTCACAGCAGCAGAATTTAAAAACTGAGCGTGAAGTTATTGGTGTTTTTTTGTATTTTTCTACTTCTCTTTTTGGTCTTATAATGTCCTTCCTTTTCACATAATCTCTCAAGCAAGCAGTTCAGTTAAAATTATTTCCGTCCCATCTGTCCCCTCTCTATTCTGGCGTCCCACAAGGCTCTGTCCTCAGTCCTTTYCTTTTGTTATTATCTACGTTCTTCCACTTGGTAATATCTTTCAAAAACAAAATATCCAATTTCATTATGTGGATGACACCCAGCTCTATCTGTCCATCTCCTGTACCTCCAACCTCCCACCCATGTCACTCTCTGACTGCCTTTATGATCTCAAATCCAGRTTCATCAAACTAAACAGCAACAAAATGGAACTTCTTCTCATGGGCTGTAAATCCACCTTTGAAAAAACAGCAACTTTTCTAGTTTCATCGACAGCACCTCTCTTCCTTCAGGTTGAGTCTTAGTGTTAAATCCCATGTCAGTCACATCCCTCGTTCAGCATACGTTCATCTTCATAGCGTTGCTCGTCTCCATCCTTCGCACACAGTTTTTGGTCACATCCCGACTAGGTTGCTGCAACTCCTTTCTTTTTGGTTTACCTGTAAATTCTATCCATAAACTCCAACTGGTCCAAAACTCAGCTGCTTGTATCATTTCCTGAACCTCTTCCACCAGTCGTATGACACCAATCCTGCAGAATCTTCAATGGCTCCCCATCAAATTTCGCATCTCCTCTAAAACCTTGCTCCTCATCTTCAAAGCACTCAATACCC